TACAAGCTCAAAATTATTTTACTTGAAAATTTTTTAGCTTTTTGCTAATTTCAATTTCAAAATTCAAAGTCAAAACTTCTTATTTGTAATATATGTAATGAATGTTATGAAGGCAATGCTTAAAATACAATAAATGCATCCATAATTGTAGTAAAAGGGTTCTCAAGACTCTATTTTTTTTAATCTTCAAAACTAGTTATCTTCATAACCTTTATATATTTTTTAAACCAAAATGTCTTTTTACCAATTGTAATTACCAAATCTGGACTTTTCTTGAAATGTTCTTCCTTCTTTTGATAGTTCAGAGAATCAACATTTTCACAAGTTTCTTTCATTACCTTATATTCATTCTACCTCTATCATTATTGATTTCTTTTTAAAGTAATGTAGGGATTTTTTATGTATTTTACTATTTATTTCTTATAATCCCAATTTCATGAAAAATGAAATTCATCACATAATTTCTTAGTTCTTTATGGGAAAGCAAAAAAGGTAAAGAACAAGATGGTTTGAAAAAAAAGATATTGGATGCAAGAATAAGTCTAGTAAAGGATAATAGGCAAAAGAACAATGTCAAAACATAGTGTTTGGATGGGATTTTAACATCCAAAATAATGAATATTCAAATAATTTCTGGCAACAATCTAACTTTTTTTTTTCTCAAAAACTCATTTTATTACCACGTTTGATCTCTTCAAGCTTATCAATTCAAATCTTGCCCCTTATCCCATTGGATTCCTGAAAACTCTTAATCTTCTTATTTCAAGCTGTTTTTCCATGTTTTTAGCTAATATATCTTCTTTTACTTAAATCGCCTTTTTAGGTTTTTGATTTGTATTCTTTTTCCCTCATTTTCATTTTTTTTATTTTGGCTAAATGCTCAATTTAGGATCTAATATTTAGGTCAATTCTCAATTAAGGATATAACATTTAATTTGATTCAAATAAGTATTAAACATTTTCAAATTTGATCCAATAAGGATTTTTTTTTACAAAAGTGACATACATGCCATTAAATAATGTAATTTGTTTAAAATAAACTACTGATATGTTGTTTTTTGTACATGTGATATGTCAAGTGGCCATTTAATAAAATTTGGATGCTTAAAAAACTCTAATCCCTAAAATTAGAGACTTAAACCATAATTTAGAACAACCTAAACAAATTAATCAAATAGTTTTTGGAAGAACTGAGATCTACAATTTCATGTGTTCCAAATAAAAACCCAAATCAACCAAGGAATTAAACCTAGAAAATAAATTTTGAAAAGGAAAATAAAAACCCAAAATATAACAAATTCAATCAAACTAAAAACCTAATTAGATTCAACAAGAAACTATAAACCCAAAAACAAATTCAATAACAAACAAAAAACCCAAATCAACAACAAATTTGATGAAAAATAGAAACACAAAAACAAAAATTACCAAAGAAAAGAAAAACCTGCTTAATTCAGTCATATCAAAAGATGAGGTATATCAAATCAAAATTAAATCTAATAAAAAAAAAAAACCTCATAAAAAACATTAACACTGAAATTTATGATTTTAAATTTAATAATATAATAAAAAGTAATAAAAAAAACAAACCATAAAAAAGAGAATGAATGATCATCAACAAGTGAATAGTTAGCAACGAAAACAAGGAAATGAGGTAGTAGGTGAGATCAATGGAGGAACCAATAATCATGAGGAAAAATGAAAAATAAAAAGGGAAAAAAAAGTGAATATTTTCAGGTTAGAAAGAAAAGAAAGGGGTTGAGGTTAACAACCTACCAAATGAAAGTGAAAGAGAGGTAGCAAAAGACATGATGACAACACACAAAATGAACTACAAAAAAATTTAAAAGAAAGAAGAAAACATTACAGGAGATTGGAAAAAAATAAAAAAAATAAAAAGCTATTTCTTTCTATTTTAAGATCTTATATTTTTATTTTTTTTCTTAATAATGGGAAAAAAGTGTCACCTATCTCGTCATTTGAATAAAAAATGGCATATCAGTAACAGAGCATATATTTAATAGTGTGTGTATTTTACTCTGTTAAAATTTTTTATTTGAATCAACTTGAAAACATTTAGTCCTTATTTGGATCACATTAGACATTACGTTCTTAATTGAGAATTGATGGAAACCTTAGATCTTAAATCGAACATTTAGCTTTTCTTTTTTCATCTTTCATTTTTTTCATCATTTTTCCTTTTTTTTTTGTTGCATCATTCACCATAGGCATTCCCATCGAATTCCATATAAATCCCTAAAATATAATACTTCATTGTCATTTGATTATACTATAAGTGTGCATCAATTTGATTCTTCAATTTAAGCATTCATGTTTAATCGAAATGGATTTCTAAGGCATGTAACTTATGCTATGGTGATCAGTTATGAAAAAAATGGATGAATTAGACTCAAAATATGTGTTTGAAAGGGTATTATACTAAAGGATCATTTCTCATCATTTAAAGTACCTTGGCATTTTTCCCTATTATTTATCAAATGCTTCTATATTCTCATTTTTCATCTTTCAATCTCACTTTTCTTCTTTTCAATTTTTCTTTCCAAGAAAGATTAACACACGAGAGAGTTTTTTCTTTTTTTTTTTAATCAGAAATCACTTGCGACTCTTTTTTATTTGCGAATAGATCTTTTTTCCAAACTTTGTCAACCAATATAAATAGTGATCCTTGGTGTGTTTCTTTTAAAGAAATCATAATGGCTTAAAAGGCATAACAAATGGATTATTTCACTTTTTGTGAAATGAAAAGAAAGTGGTTATTTCTTATTTGAAATGTGAATGCTTTTTTTTTAAAGAATCTATATTGAATGAAGGCAGGCTTGTGGATATTAGGGACCACATTTTCCTAAAATGGCTCTATTTTTGCCTTTTAATGGATAAGGAGAAAGGATGTCAATTTTAATTCAGCCTAATAGATTAGGGATCTAAATCATCAATCTTATCAATATGAATGAGATTTTCAAGATTGAATCCTAAATTAACATTATAATTGTTTGAACATTTATTACTCGGAATATGAGAATAAGTGAAATATGAAGGGATATATGTCATAACGTCTAGATCCGGGGATCTATCGCTAGACATTGACTTTTAGGAGTCGCCACCAATCTTTTTTTATCTAGGTGCGATTGGCCACCTAAAGAATCTGTCATTTTAGGGAACACCTAAGCTTAAGGGTCCCTAAAAGAATAGGTTCAGGTATACTAACCAGAACAGGATTCGAGAGTTCGGTTACGTGTGAGGAAGGTTATAGCACCCTCACAACGCCCATCAAAAGATGGTACCAGCATAATTTTGTGTTATCCAATAAGCTTTAAAATTTTACCAAGTAATTAATTATTGAAAATTATTTTCAATTGACTTTAATACTTTTAGCAAAAAATTGAGAAAATTCCCTTACCTCAAGAGTATACAAGAAAAACTACTGTTTCACTTGTAGAGGTTCCGTCGTCGGATTATTTAAAGAAAAAATCAAAATCAAAATCAAAATAAAAAGAAAGAAAAGAATGATTGTTTTTGTGTAGAAAAAAATTGATACTTTCAACTTTTTCCCAAAAATATTTTTTGAAAAGCTTATTTTCAAGAAAAATTGATACTTTCTACTTTTTCCCAAAAATATTTTTTGTTTTTTGGAAACTTTAATTTCGAGAAAAATTGATACTTTCAACTTTTCTCCAAAAATATTTTTTTGTTTTTTGGAAACTTTAATTTCGAGGAAAATTGATAATTTCAACTTTTCCTCAAAAATATTTTTTTTTACAGTTCCTATAAAATGTTGACAGCCATATTGATACAATTTCTAGACATCTCTTCCAAGAATATCCTCAGTCGTTGGTCGCATTGGAGTTATAGGAGGATGATCACCAGCATCTGTTCCTGAGCATGATTTACGATAACCTTCAACAAGCAGTCTTTGGACATAGTCACTCCAAAGTGGATTATTTTCTAGTGCCTTAAATGTGCTATTGAAGTCAAACGATGAAGGATATGCTGTACTTTCGGTTCGTGGATAGCTTATGAAACCTTGTGTATATAAGCGTTCAGCAATTTGCATAGCCGTCTGAGGTCCAAAACCTAATGCACTTGAAGCAGCCTTCAAAAGATTCACAGTGTTGAAACCAGAAGGTCGACCTTTACTTTCTCGTTTTTCTGATACGTCAATTACTTCAAGAATTCCATCCTCTGTCACCAACTTTTGGAACATTGTGGCAACATCTAAGTCAAACAATTTTTGATGTTTCCATTCTAGATGAAGGTTATAACCATTCTGAATAATGTAGGGACGTAATGCCCAAAACTTTTCGGGCTTAAAAGTATTAATTTGCAAATATAACTGCACACAAAACCCAAGTGTAGGGGTTTGCCATGGTCCACAACTCAAGATCAGCTGATGAAATAAGCTCACCATTTAGAAATGCTTCAGCAGGTTTATCATCCACTTCAGAAACCATTTCAATCAGTTCCCGTCTTTTTTTTGCAACTGTGGCCTCCATTTCTGCTGGTATTTCTTCAGCATCAACTTTTTCTCCGCTGGAACCATGAAAATAATAAGCTTTTAGTTGCACGAGATCGACAAAACCCTGAAAATTTTCTTCCAAGCCAATTGGGACTTGCACTGCTACACTGTGATGTCAAAGCTTAGACCTTGCCTGGTTGAGAACTTTCCATGGATCAGCTCCCATTCGATCAAGCTTGTTAATAAAGGCGAGTCTCGGAACCTCATATCTTCTCATTGTCGATCAACAGTAATTGACTGACTTTGTACACCACCAACACTACACAGAACCAAAATGGCACCGTCAAGAACACGCAGCGCCCTCTCCACTTCAATCGTAAAATTAACATGACCGAGCGTATCGATTATATTAATCTGATAATCTTTCCAGGTGCAACACGTGACAGCAGATTGAATAGTAATTCCTTTCTCTCTTTTTGAATCCATGGAATCCGTCTTTGCTCCGACGTTGTCTTTGCCACGAACTTCATGGATCTCGTGGATCCAGCTCGTATAATAGAGAATCTGCTCCGTTAGTGTGGTCTTGCCCGAGTCGATGTGAATGGAGATTCTGATGTTTCAAAGTTGTTCCATTGACTTGCTTCGCTCTGAAGGAGAAACTACACTGTTTAGCATTGCTTTTGTTTCCTGCCCAGCGTAAACCACCACGCCTATTATCCAATTCGTGTTCTTCAGCTGATAACCACGTAAAATAATGTTTGATTGGCTGAAGGGAATTTTTGTTCATTAAACTCCATGATGGCTGTGAACTCATAAATATTCCTATTAGACTACTCACATCCGATCAGCCCCAATATATTACAACCTTCAAATACCAAAGAAGCTGTTTCCTGCCTAGCATATCTTGTCTTCAGGTTTGATTCACCATCCAAATTCATGGTCTGGATGTAGGCAAGTCCAGTAGGGTCACTTGTCCCTAACAAAACCATGTCACAAGGAATTGTCTCATCAGCGTGGGTCTTGACGACCTGTCCTGCTCTTATCTTTTTCCATTTCTTCATTTGGAATTCCCCCAACTGGAGAACTAGTGCCTCTCGGTTATTCTCATTCCGGTCTGACCAGTGTCTTCGCCAATCCTCATAACCATCTTTAATTACCGTGACACAAAGCACAAACAAGAGTGGGAAAAGGGACACAGTTCTTCCAAAAACTGCTAGAGGTGGAAGTTGATTAAAAGTAGCGATAGCCAGGAAATACAAATAGGCCACTCGATGAAACTGAATGAAAAGATTCTTGGGTAAAAACATGATAAGTGTATACTTGCTTGTCCGAATCTCATTCCCACTGAACCCGTACTTGTCATTTGCTCTCCTCGAATCATTAATGTAGATCAGCCTTGGATTTTCTGCACATAACAGATTATCATCAAAATCCACACTTTTGTTGCGAAACCTCCGGGACTTATTCAACTTATCTTGCACCACAGATGAACCCCTGGAAATATCAAAGCTTGTACAAGTGTTACTGTATTATGCAGCTCAAAAAAAATAAATGAAGAGAAGACAAAGAAGCTAGCAATAAGGCCTACGTAAATCGTCAATACAATCAGAGACAGTAAATTCAAAACAGGCCCCACAGAAAATCAAAAGTGTCAGAAATCAATAAGAAAAAAAAAGTGAAAGAGCTCTGTCGACGAATTGAATGGGAACGTTGACAGATCTCTGATAAAACAACTCAACTCAGCTCCCACAGATCTCTTCTTATTCAATAAAATGCCAAAACTAGAAACACAACCTGAGAGAAGAAGCGATTATTAGATACGTATTTATTATTTTTGAAGTAATTTGCCCATTTCTGAAAGCATCAAATGCGGGGAAATCCCAATCATCAGACATTCCAGATTTCCAAGAAGGTCCCCTTCCCTTCAAACCTGGAGCAATTCCATCACATTGGATAAATCTTGGTATTTAAGCACTTCTCGGGTCATGGATGGGGAGGTCACCAGGATAACAATGCTGCTCCCAAGTTGGAGTTTCCCAAACTAGCTCGAAGGTATGAGCTAGTACAGCAAAGTAAGAGTGAAAGTAAAGGTCAATGAAGGGAAGGTTGGGAAGCCTCGAGGGCTTGGTGGCGATGGGGGTTTCCCCTTTTTGTTTGGCTTCTGTTTTCTTTTCCCTTCCCCCTCTCCTATTCGGATTCTTCTTCTATCTTTTCTCCCCCTATTTGGATTCCTCCTCTATCTTTTTTTTCTATTTTTTTTCCTGCCCTTCAGCTTGTATATTCATTATTGATATATAGATCCATGCTGATAGAGACTCAATTCAATTCCAATTAGTCATCCAATGCTAAAGATTAGCACCTAATTATCCTTTCTGATCATCATCAAACTTAATCTCAATCCTTTTTTTTAAAATTAATCAGATAATTAAAAGAAAGAAAAAGAAAATAAATAAAAAAATAAAAAAATGATAAATATGAAATAAAAAAATTTAAAATAAAAATGAATAAAAATCCCTACCATTGAGCTTGGATTAGTCTCAATTGACAAAGAATCCCGGACAAAATGGGATGTCTACAGCTGCCCCTCTTTGTACATTTTTTGTGAAACAGAAATTGTGCAAAGACGTAGACACCACCTTCAAGACTCAACTGATTTTTTTTTTGCCCATTTTTTTTTGCTTCTTTTTTTTTCTTAAAATTTTGATCAAATCTCCTATAAGCAGAGGCTCAATGATTTTGAGAAACATAAACAAAGCTCCTCTAAATAGAAGCAACTTTTTTTTTGTTTCTGTTTTTTATTGTCCATTTTTTTTTGTTTTTTTTTTTTAAATTTGATCAAAGCTCCTCTAAGCAGAGGCTTAATGACTTTGAGAAACATAAACAAAGCTCCTCTAAATAGAGGCAACCTTTTTTATTATTTTTTTTGTTTTTTGGTTTTTTGTTTATCAAAGCTCCTCTAACCACGACTTTGGAAAGTAAATTGCTCCTCTAAACAGAGGCACCACGACTTTGAAAAGTAAATTGCTCTTCTAAACAGAGGCACCACGACTTTGGGAAAAGTAAATTGCTCCTCTAAACAGAGGCACCACGACTTTGAAAAGTAAATTGCTCCTTGACAATCATGTCCAAAGGAGTTGAAAGTTGTGTTTGAAGGAATTTCAGGAGATTATACCTAAAGGTCTCATAAATCAACCCTGATACTAAAAGAGATCATATTTCAAGGATTAGGAACTTACTTGACAATTTTCTTCTCAAATTTGCAAAATATCTTCATATCTGTCTTCTCTATGTGGGATGTTGGAACACCCATGCTTTTAGAATTTATGCACTATACTTTTCTGAAAGTAGTGCATGCTATGCAATGCATATGAATTTCAATGCATGCTATGCAAATGTTGGTCAATTAATTCTTATTCAATGTATGGTACTCAAGTTTCTCAAGCTTTTTCCTCGGGCATCAAGTTTTGATTTTTAAAAGATCCAATTATACTGCTATTTTAAAATCGAACTAGTGTAGCTCTCAATTGTCTTTTCCACTCACATTCTTCCTTGTTCAGTTTCTCAATACTTTAGAATAAGCTTCATCAATCGATCATCACTTGACCATCATTCAATGAATTTTTCAGCACTAACAAATTTCAAAACAAGTTTCATCCATCATCACTGGGTCATCACTCATAGGTGTCTCAGCATTAATCATTCCAAAATAAACTTTGTCCACTGATTGTTCTCATCATTCAATCATAACTTGCAAGTCATATCGACCAATTCATCCTTGTACTCATCACTTGGTTATACCACTTTTCAAGATTTGCCCCATTATATTCTTCATTTGATCACATCATATATCTTTCCAAATCATCTCTTTTAGGTTTCTACCATTTCTTCATTTTGTTACCACCATCATCTTAGATTTCTTTTCAAATGAATGCAAGATTCTTTTAAACACATATTCATTCATTCATTATCATTACAAATCTTGACAAATGCAATGCAATCAAGCATTTTCTCAATTCATTCTAGGGGTGTAACAATAAGAGAACACAATGTGAATTATGGTAAAGATAATCAATGAAGATCTATTTTGGTACAAAATAAATGGGAAAGAAAATAAATTGGATACATGTCATTGGGATGAATGGTATGTCCAAATGATGAATATGCAAACAATTCTCAACATTAATCTAGGATTCTTTTTCAAAATCTCATTCCATTTACTGTTGAAGTCATCTTGAGCTTGATAAATTTTACCCCAGTCTTTGATCTTTCATTCATGTGAGCTATTTGACCTAGATCTTTTTTTACCAAAATCATCTTTTCAGGTTTTCTTTTTTTTTCATTTTTTCATTTTTTCATTTTCTCATTTTTTCATTCTTTTTTTTTTCTCATTTTTCATCCATTGTTGGTATCTTTCATACATCAAACTTTAGAGCAATGTAGCATAACTCCATTGCTTCATCATGAGCATACCTTCGCTCAACATATGATCATTCAAGTTGAGTATTCACATTTAATCCAAATGGACTTTTCAAGGTTGTAACGTAGGCCAAGGTGAAGGGTCATAAAAAAAATGGATATAATAGGCTCAAAACATGTATTAAAAAGGTTCAAAACCAAATGATCATTTGATACAACTTGGCATTTTGCCCTCACATCGTTTCACTATTTTTTTCTTTCTTCACACAAAGGATTCTCATTACTTTACCCCAAATCATGTGTGGTATTTTTTTTCACTTTTCTTTCTCTTTCCATCTTTGAGACCTTTTATGGTTTTTTTTTTCAAAAATTACCCTCTAGTGTAGGGGTGATCCTTGGTTGAGGTTTTTTAGAAAAAAGAAATCATAATAGGCTCAAAGGGGTAGCAATGAATGGTTTTTCGAATGGTAAAAGAAAGATGGTCATTTTTCATCTCAATTGTGAATACCTTTCTTGAACATCATCTATTGAACAAAACACATGAACCTGTATAAAAGATTGCACATCTTCAAGACATATCTATTTCACCTCCGATAATAGCTTACTTTTTGCTCAAATCATCTTCTCATGTTAATGTGGATGAGTTTTCAAAATTAAATCCCAGAATTATTATTATTATTGTCTAAATATTCATCATCTGAAATTTAAGAATGGGAATGTAAAGTTATGAAAGGTAACAGGGCATGGAATAATGGTCGAGTGAAAGAGAAAATGTAATGAAATGCATTAACTTGCCCTTATTAAGATGATAATAAGTGAAATCATATTGCAGAAAAGAAATCCTAACATTACTTTAAAAAAACTCTTAGAATGACAAGTGGTATTCAACTAGTTTTAACATCCTCTTTAAAATCATGCCCCTAGGCAACCAGGTGAAGGATTTTTATCTCGCCCCATTGATTCATTATGACTCTTCATATTCTTGATCCTCAAACAAAATGATTGGGCTTTTCCTGTCGAGTTTTAAAGATACAGGCTTGACCATTTGAGCGACTGCTTCCATTATCATGCTCCCTGTTGTATTACTTCTAGTAAAGGCAATCTTGTCAACATTGGGATGATATGCCAAAGGAATCGCAACTTTCAGGCCCAATCCAATCAGAATATTCAAGACATGTGGAGGAAAACCAACCTTCCTACATACGTTAGCCAGCTCCAAACAGGTGATAGGTACCAACCTGAAAGGCTTCAGTATTACAACACAATCTTTTACTTTGCATCTAAACCTTCAGCAAGGTACATATAATACTCAAAACATCCAGCAACATCATCAATGTCCTAAGTTGCTTCATCAAGTAGTTTTTCTAATCAATTGCTCAAGCTTTTCTAATTCAGATTTTCTCTCTGTTATTTTAGAAATGATGGCCCATAAATACTTAGCATGAACAGTGCCAGAAGCTAAAGTTCATTCCATCCTTGATTAATCATTGCACCTCATGCTTTAGAGTAGTGTAATTTTCAGTGCAATGGCCAACAATTTTATAGCGGTAGTCATAATGAGCTGTAAGATCATACCACTTAGGATGAGGTGGTTTAAGAGGGTCCACATAGCTTGGGGGTAATCAGGTGGCTATTATAGAGCTCTCAGTATAACTCCATATAAGTTATGAGGATTGGATCAAATACAAGTTTTTCTCGAATAGTCCATTGCTCTCATGAATCACTTTCCAGAGTAATAGGATGAATTTAGGGTCTTGCAAGAGTTTGACTGTTAAGGCTGTATATGAGAGCTTGAGGGATAAAAATAGGCTGATATATGGATGAATTAGGTGGTTGTGAGGGCTAGTTGGTATGGATAAGATGAAGCATTGTTCACAGTAGGATAGTATGGAGAGTAATAGGAAGGTAAATAAGGTTGATATCCCCTGAACTATCTGTCAAAACCTACAGCTTGAGCTTCAGTCTCTTTCTTCTTGGGTGCCTTCTTGGTTTCTTCTCCTTTCAACTTGCCATTCTCAATGATTTCGCTTGAGATCATCATGTCAACGAAATTCTTTGTGACATTCCCTATCATCTCTTCATAATAGAGAGATTTTAAAGTACTGACAAATAATACGGTGGTCTCTTTTTCAGTCAAAAGAGGTTGCACTTGAGAAGCAATATCCTTCCACCATTGGGCATATTCTTTGAATGATTCAGTTGCTTTCTTATTCATATTCTGTAAAGAAAGATGATCAAGGGCCAAGTCTATTATATGCTGATATCGACTAATGAAAGCATAAACCATATCGCTCTAAGAACCAATACGATTCTTGTCTAACTGGACATACCACCTAGCAGTAGAGCCAGTGAGGCTGTCTTAGAATGCATGCATCAAGAGCTTTTCATTATTGGCATGGACAACCATTTTTCAACAGTACAAAGTAATGTGAGTTTTCGAACACCTTGTACCATCATTTTTCTCAAACTCTGGCACTTTAAACTTCAAAGAGATAATTGTATCCGAGATTAAATAGAGTCTATCATCATCAGCAAAATCATAAAAACCCATTCCTTCCATTACTTGTAGCCTTTCCTCTAACAAATTCAACTTTTAAGGCTTCTACAAGCTCCTTCTCTTTGGGCTTCAATTTTTATTCTTTTAGATCATCCAAATTAGGGAATGATATTGGTTCTACTGCCTCTTCAGTAAGGACATAATTTATATAACTTTAGTACTATCCTTGATTTGAATCTCATGGCATTCTAGGATATATGTACCTTACAAGATAGGTGAACTGCTATGATGGTGGACCTTATGCAGATTGGACTTGGTATGGCTCGAAACCAAGAGGATACAGTGAGTCATTTTCCTCTTATTGGCTAGCATTCTCCTCTATTACCTTCCCCTTGTTTAACTTGTTCAAAGGCTCTAAAATCTTATTCAACTCCCCTTCTAACTTCTCTTGAGCTTTCTCTATTCTCTCGAGACGATTGAAATTTTCTTGTTCCATTAGTCTGGCTTGAGCTCTTGTATTGTATTGGTGAGTGGAGTTGCTTGGTGGAGCTATCCTTGAACCTCTAGCACCACAATTATGATTAAAAAATGCTATGCTTTATGTATGATGCTTTGATACATGAATGAAATGTACATTTTCCTAAATGAAATCTAATATGAAATGGATGCAAATGATTGTGTTAAAACATGATAATGAAAGTAATGCAGATGCATACAATCAGACAAACAACATAGTTAGTTCTATGGATGAAATGAAAGTGATGCTGATGCATAATGTTATATATGATAACGAAAATGATGCACAAAGTTAAACAATCAAAATGATTAGATAAATACCCTTTTTGTGTCTTAATTTCAAGGTATATCTATCATTGGGTAGAAAGGGCTTTATCCTAGGTCTAAGCACTCTTAAGGTTCACTATATGTGGTTTAAGGTCAAAGTCTAAAGGTTCCCAAATTGCTCCTTACATCTTTGTCCATCACAGACTAGTAAGGCACCCTAATCCTTACCTATTATAGGCTACAAGCGAAAAAGGTTCAATTTGAGTGGGAGTATTTCACTAGTCACTGTGGAGGTATTAGACCTCACGAAAGCAATAGGTACTTTACTCCCTCCTAGAGGGACGAAGCTCGGGTATGGAGCTCATGTTATGCACATGCACATGAATGACATAATTAACAAAGTAAATAAACATGAATGAATAATAACACATATATACAAAAAGGTTCAATTTTATTAGGCTTTTGGATAACATAAATTATTTGTTGGCCTGACTCTCAAAGTCCCCAGTGGAGTCACCAAGCTGTCATAACGTCTAGATCTGGGGATTTATTGCTAGACATTGACTTTTAGGAGTCGTCACCAATATTTTTTATCTAGGTGCGATTGGTCACCTAAAGAATCTGTCCTTTCAGGGAACACCTAAGCTTAAAGGTCCCTAAAAGAATATGTTCAGGTATACTAACCAGAATAGGGTTCGGGAGTTCAGTTACGTGTGAGGAAGGTTATAGCACCCTCACAACGCCCATCAAAAGATGATACCAGTATAATTTTGTGTTATCCAATAAGCCTTAAAATTTTACCAAGTAATTAATTATTGGAAATTATTCTCAATTGACTCTAATACTTTTAGCAAAAAATTAAGAAAATTCCCTTACCTCAAGAGTATGCAAGAAAAACTACTGTTTCACTTGCAGAGGCTCCGTCGTCGGATTATTTAAAGAAAAAATCAAAATCAAAATCAAAATAAAAAGGAAGAAAAGAATGATTGTTTTTGTGTAGGAAAAATTGATGCTTTCAACTTTTTCCCAAAAATATTTTTTGGAAAGCTTATTTTCAAGGAAAATTGATACTTTCAACTTTTCCTCAAAAATATATTTTTTTGAAAATTTATTTTCAAGGAAAATTGATACATTCAACTTTTCTCCAAAAATATTTGTTTGTTTTTTGGAAACTTTAATTTCGAAAAAAATTGATACTTTCAACTTTTCTTCAAAAATATTTTTTTTTTACAGTTCCTATAAAATGTTGACAGCCATACTGATACAATTTCCAGGCATCTCTTCCAAGAATATCCTCAGTCGTTGGTCGCATTGGAGTTATAGGAGGATGATCACCAGCATCTGTTCCTGAGCGTGATTTACGATAACCTTCAACAAGCAGTCTTTGGACATAGTCACTCCACAGTGGATTATTTCTAGTGCCTTAAGTGTGCTTTTGAAGTCAAACGATGAAGGATATGCTATACTTTCGGTTCGTGGATAGCTTATGAAACCTTGTGTATATAAGCGTTCAGTAATTTGCATGGCCGTCTGAGGTCCAAAACCTAATGCACTTGAAGCAGCCTTCAAAAGATTCACTGTGTTGAAATCAGAAGGTCGACCTTTGCTTTCCCGTTTTTTTGATACGTCAATTAGCTTCAAGAATTCCATCCTCTGTCACCAATTTTTGGAACATTGTGGCAACATCTAAGTCAAACAATTTTTGACGTTTCCATTCTAGATGAAGGTTATAACCATTCTGAATAATGTAGGGACGTAATGCCCAAAACTTTTCGGGCTTAAAAGTATTAATTTGCAAATATAACTGCACACAAAACCCAAGTGTAGGGGTTTGCCATGGTCCACAACTCAAGATCAGCTGATGAAATAAGCTCACCATTTAGAAATGCTTCAGCAGGTTTATCATCCACTTCAGAAACCATTTCAATCAGTTCTCATCTTTTTTCTGCAACTGTGGCCTCCATTTCTGCTGGTATTTCTTCAGCATCAACTTTTTCTCCGCTGGAACCATGAAAATAATAAGCTTTTAGCTGCACGAGATCAATAAGACCCTGAAAATTTTTTTCCAAGCCAATTGGGACTTGCACTGCTACACTGTGATGTCGAAGCTTAGACCTTGCCTAGTTGAGAACTTTCCATGGATCAGCTCCCATTCGATCAAGCTTGTTAATAAAGGCGAGTCTCGGAACCTCATATCTTCTCATTGTCGATCAACAGTAATTGATTGACTTTGTACACCACCAACACTACACAGAACCAAAATGGCACCGTCAAGAACACGTAGCGCCCTGTCCACTTCAATCGTAAAATTAACATGACCGAGCGTATCGATTATATTAATCTGATAATCTTTTCAGGTGCAACACGTGACAGCAGATTGGATAGTAATTCCTTTCTCTCTTTTTGAATCCATGGAGTTCGTCTTTGCTCCGACGTTGTCTTTGCCACGAACTTCATGGATCTCGTGGATCCAGCTCGTATAATAGAGAATCTGCTCCGTTAGCGTTGTCTTGCCCGAGTCGATGTGAATGGAGATTCCGATGTTTCGAAGTCGTTCCATTGATTTGCTTCGCTCTGAAGGAGAAACTACACTGTTTAGCATTGCTTTTGTTTCCTGCCCAGCGTAAACCACCACGCCTATTATCCAATTCGTGTTCTTCAGCTGATAACCACGTAAAACAATGTTTGATTGGTTGAGGGGGAATTTTTGTTCATTAAACTCCATGTTGGCTGTGAACTCATAAATATTACTATTAGACTACTAACATCCGATCAGCCCCAATATATTACAACCTTCAAATACCAAAGAAGCTGTTTCCTGCCTAGCATATCTTGTCTTCAAGTTTGATTCACCATCCAAATTCATGGTCTGGATGTAGGCAAGTCCACTAGGGTCACTTGTCCCTAACAAAACCATGTCGCAAGGAATTGTCTCATCAGCGTGGGTCTTGACGACCTCTCCTGCTCTTATCCTTTTCCATTTCTTCATTTGGAATTCCCCCAACTGGAGAACTAGTGCCTCTCGGTTGTTCTCATTCCGGTCTGACCCGTGTCTTTGCCAATCCTCATAACCATCTTTAATTGCCGTGACACAAAGCACAAACAAGAGTGGGAAAAGAGACACAGTTCTCTCAACAAAACTGCTAGAGGTGGAAGTTGATTAAAAAGGCAGCGATAGCCAGCGAAATACAAAATAGGCCACTCGATGGAAACTGAATGAAAAATTCTTGGGTAAAAACATGATAAGTGTATACTTGCTTGTCCGAATCTCATTCCCACTGAACCCGTACTTGTCATTTGCTCTCCTCGAATCATTAATGTAGATCAACCTTGGATTTTCTGCACATAACAGATTATCATCAAAATCCACACTTTTGTTGCGAAACCCCGGCACTTATTCAACTTATCTTGCACCACAGATGAACCCCTGGAAATATCAAAGCTTGTACAAGTGTTACTGTTATTATGCAGCTCAAAAAAAAAAAAAATGAAGAGAAGACAAAGAAGCCAGCAATAAGGCCTACGCAAATCGTCAATACAATTAGAGATAGCAGATTCAAAACAGGCCCCACAGAAAATCAAAAGTGTCAAAAATCAATAAGAAAAAAAAACGAAAGAGCTCTGTCGATGAATTGAATGGGAACGTTGACAGATCTCTGATAAAACAACTCAACTCAGCTCCCACAGATCTCCTCTTATTCAATAAAATGCCAAAACTAGAAACACAACCTGAGAGAAGAAGCGATTATTAGATACGTATTTATTATTTTTGAAGCAACTTGCCCATTTCTGGAAGCACCAAATGCCGGGAAATCCCAATCATCAGACATTCCAGATTTCCAAGAAGGTCCCCTTCCCCTCAAACCTGGAGCAATTCCATCACATTGGATAAATCTTGGTATTTAAGCACTTTTCGGGTCATGGATGGGGAGGTCACCAGGATAACAATCCTGCTCCCAAGGTGGAGTTTCACAACTGGCCCGAAGGTATGAGCAAGTACAGCAAAGTAAGAGTGAAAGTAAATGTCCATGAAGGGAAGGTTGGGAAGCCTCGAGGGCTTGGGGGCGATGGGGGTTTCCCCTTTTTGTTTGGCTTCTGTTTTCTTTTCCCTCCCCCCTCTCCTATTCGGATTCTTCTTCTATCTTTTCTCCCCCTATTTGGATTCCTCCTCTATCTTTTTCTTTCTATTTTTTTTCCTCCCCTCCAGCTTGTATATTCATTATTGATATATAGATCCATGCTGATAGAAATTCAATTCAATTCCAATTAGTCATCCAATGCTAAAGATTAGCACCTAATTATCTTTTCTGATCATCATCAAACTTAATCTCAATCCTTTTTTTTTAAATTAATCAAATAATTAAAAGAAAGAAAAAGAAAATAAATCAAAAAATAAAAAAAATGATAAATATGAAATAAAAAAAATCTAAAATAAAAATGAATAAAAATCTCTGCCACTGAGCTTGGATTAGTCTCAATTGACAAAGAATCCTAGACAAAATGGGGTGTCTACAATATATAAAAGTAAATAAAAAAAGAATATATAATCAAATGCATCTGCCATTTTATTGAAATGCAAGATAAATACAAGATAAACATATAAAAAAACCTCCCTAAAATTTATTACTTCTTAAAAAACTCCTAAAACATCTCCTTAAAATTATACCCCTATATTATTGGGCAAAGGATTTTCAATGACACTTGGCCTTCTTTTATCATTAAACTTTATCAAACCAGCATTGATGAGACCTTGTATCTTGTGCTTTAGGATAACACAATTCTCTGTTAAGTGATCTGTAATACCAAAATAGTAGTCACATTGAACACTAGCATCATACCATTTCAAGTAAGGAGGTTTCAATGGCTCAACAACAATAGGGGCTAGCAAATGACTTTTGACTAGATGTGATAGCAACTTCATGTATGTCATGATATGGGATCAAAAGAAACCTTCTCTTTATTATTCTATGGTCTTCTTGAATTATCGATTTGATTACTAAAATTTGAGGCTAACTTTGCATTAGGTGTGGTGGTGGGGATGTATGCATGAGTTAATGGAAAATAATGTAGATAAATAGATAACGAGACAAGTTGATAAGGGTAAAGTGCTACACTATTCATGAATGCATAATGAACTAGATCCATTAGTGGTGGGTATTGGGGAAAACTTTTGAGTTACTTACTATCATAGCTCACAACTTAAGTTTTGACTTCTTTATTTTAGATACTTCTTCTTTATTTGCATTGGTGGTTCTTTTCTACCTAGTTTGCCATTTTTAATGGCATTTTCTATTATCTCGTCGGAGATCACTATGTCAGCAAAGTTTTTATTGGCATTCCCAATCATTTTTTCATAGTAGGGAGCCTTTAATATGCTAACAAATAAAACAATGATTTTTTTCTCAGTTAAAGGTGGTTGGACTTAAGCAATCATATATCTTCACCTTTACACATATTCTTTGAAAGATTAAGTCATTTTTTTTCCATTCTTTCTAATAAAAGGTAGTCTAGGACTAGATCAATAATGTGTCGATATTACGTAATAGACGTCTTTACAAGCTTCTTCCATAATTGTATTCTAGTCCTATTAAACATGGCATACTACCTAGTAGCAAAAACAGTAAGGCTATATTGAAATACATGAATTACTAGCTTTTCATTGTGGTATAGATAGATATCTTTTCACAATACATGGTGACATAGGTCATAGGGCACTTAGTACCATCATCTTTTTCAAATTCAGAAACTTTAAACTTGAGTGAAATTACAACATTGAAAATCAAGCAAAGTCCAGCTACGTCTATAGAGCCATAAAAATCCATAGCTTTTACATTTTGAAAACTTTCTTCTGTCAAATTTATCTTCTGCTGTGAACTTGTATCTTCCATGGTCTCTTCAGTCTTAAACTTTTCTCTTTCTTTAAAATCATATAGATCAGGGACCAAGATCAATTTTGATACTTTCTCTCTAAATATTGGATTGATATTGTAAACACCTATTTTTTCGGGAAACCAAACTTATGTCAAATAAATTTGAATAGATTCTTGAAACCATTCGAGTCCAATCGAATAACTTAATTAGATTTATTGGGTTATCTTTGTACTAAATATTTTAAACTTTTATTATTATTATTATTATTTTGTCTTTTTCTACTATTTGTTTCTTCTACCTTTTTCTCCAAAGTCTCGGTGCATTAATGAATTTCAATCCCTAAGTGCCAAAACCTAAATTTCAACCTGAAACCTAATTTTACCAAACTTTATAGCTTTTGGTGGTTTTAAAGAAAAGCACCACCAACTCTAAAAAATTAGGGATTTGGAATCCTTGAAGATTTAGATCCATTCTATAAATAGATGAAAATTTTTGATAGAACATAAACAAAAAAAGGGAATTTTCATAGAAAAAAATTTTTCCCTACCGCTTTTTCGTAAAAAAAAAAACCTAAAGATATAAAAAAAAAATCAACACTCAAAGTTATCAGATCCTCATAGGAGGAACCCTCAGCAAAAACATCAAAAAATTTTAGAAATGAAAATTTTCTTTTCAAGCCAAGAGTAAAAATTTCAGTCTAGGTAGTTTAGGATTTTGTTTGAAAAACTAGCTTGATAAAGGTGTTTAGAAAATAAAAGGAATCAATTTGGTGATTTTTAGGATTTTTTTTTAAAATTTGTGTCACCAAAATCTGAAAAAAAAACTTGAATTTTTCAACAATTAGTCGAACTTTTTGGCACTGGTTGAAGATTCTGACCAAGGCACGGCAATGATAGGTTAAAACCTAAAGAACAACGGTGGCTAGTGATAGGGGGTTTGGGTTTAGAGAGAAAAGCTCTAGGGGTAAAGAGAGAGAGGAAAGAAAAATTAAACAAAATAGAAAAGGCCTTTTTATAGGCCTTTCAAAATGATGCCGTTTTGGCATCTTTAA